TCTATCCTGCAGCAATTCAACCCCGTGAACCTCGGCACATTGAAAACGCCGCAGTCAGGGAAAACTGCCATCTCGTCACCTCAATAATAAAACCGTCTAGGGACCGAATGCACTTGTAACCCCTTGCTTTCTGTATCGTCAGACGGCGCTGCCTCCAGCTTAGGTGTATGTGCAATGGTTTTGCACACAGTGGAGTCTGCGCAAGGTGTGCGTATTTAACAATAGGGCATTTCGGTGGTTTGTGCGCAATGCAGTGGTTACTCCGTTGCAGCCGCCATATTCTCAGTTACTGTATGTAGTGGTTTCACCACTGCTGCAGGTTTCCAGCCCGCATCATGCCGGTTTAAATTCTGATGTGCAAATCAAGTTAGCGAAGGCAAAGAAAAAACGACGGGGAATAGATGTCTGGTTTGGGGCAGGGAGTCGGGGTGCTGGCGAGGGACAAGAAATGGAAAGTAAGGGTGTAAAAGAAGAGGTGGAGGAGAGGCCAAACGAGGACAAGGTGCGAGGCAAAGGGAAAACGGAGAAAGTGGAGCGTAGGTGCTCTGGTGGGGGAGGGGGTTCTGCTGCTGCTGATGCCGGAGCACAGCGCGGCCAAGCTGAACCGAGTGAACTGTGGTGGAGGTCGGGGAGTCCAACATTCCTCTGGAACACTGTTTACACTGCAGCTAGGACAGGGGGGAGCGCGAGGCACGACGCGCAGGGAAGGAAATCATCTCCTCTCAGGGAGGGAGCCTATATGAGTGATCCAGTGTGTGTGTGTGGCTGTATAGTGCCTTTCTAAAATACTGGCGTAACATGATTCCAAACTCCCCTCCCCGCTTCCAACCCTCCTCATCCTCACTCCATCTGACGCTATTTAAATCAACCTTAAACATCTCGCCTGCTGTAGGACGACGGACGGGCTGTGTGCCGCGTCTGTCATTTAAATCCCAGGATTACCGCTGAAATCGGAAAATGATATATAACACCATATGCAATCTGACCTCTATGTCATTGCGAAACAGTTGGGAAATGTTATAGGGGTGTTAATAAATGTGAAATCTGAAAGTTGTTTTAGTGCTGGGTCCATAAGAGGAAAACCACCAGAGACAAAGACCTGAGCTGTTTTGTTTTCTCTCTCTCTTTTAACTACCTGGAAAATTATGCAAGGTTTCAATAAAGTAATAATTTAAAATACTTTCGTTCAATCATATTGAGTTTATTTTATAGCAAATACAAGGCAACTCTTTATTTTAAAAACTTTGAAAGAACTTTTTGTTGCAATTTAAATTTGTCAGTCTAATTAGTAGAAAAAGATTTTCATTGATTCATATTTTCATTTAAAAACTACAATACATGTAAAGTTAGCAAGAAAACCCTAAAAACTTGTTTGTTTTGTAGAAAACAGCATTCAACAAAGTATCATGGAAAACAATGATTTAACAAGAGAATTAGTCCTTAAAACAAAGGAAGCTTAGGCTATATATTAATTCTCTACTTCTTCTTTACTGAAAACAGTAGATCATCTGCAGTAGGAGCTGAATTACAAGAAACAGAAGAAAACAAAACAAATAAAAGCAGATATGTTTTTAAAGATTTAGATATCCTCAAGTTTGATGTGAACAACACAGACCAAAGTTGTGTCTCATCAAACTTGGGGAGCACTCACAGCAGAGACTGAGACCTGCAGTGCTGCTGCACATGCTTTCATCCCATGAAGACGTTGCTCTTCTCCATCTGCTGGTACAACAGAGAAATTACACTCCGTACAGAAACAGCACACATTTTATACTGTACCATCAAACCTACTACTAAATGTAAATGTGTAAGTTGGTACACCATAGATGGTTTGTTCTAAAATAGCCGATTGTGCTTCATAATGAGGAATGGCTGCAGGTTACCTGTTTGTTAACAATACAAATTAAGTATTCCCAGTAGTTTTAAGCAACAGAAAGCTGATTTCTTCCAGATTCATCCGTACAGGATTAAGAAACTAGTCAACAGACAAGATTTTTCCATTAGTACATCACGACAGACCATTTTCCTACAAATATTTCCACCTGAATCAGAGTTAGCCAGTTACTGTTCAGCCTCAGTAAATATTTAGTGTTTTCTGCACCATTGAGGAAATTATCACCACTGGCATCAGTCATAGTGACATTTCAGTGAATCACAGCAAAGCAGGAGACAATTGCTGTCTGGGCTCTGGGCTGAAAAATTAATTTGTCCCCAGACTGCTGCATAGCAACACTTGCAAAAGAGCAAGATACAGGGATGGGAGAATCTTTAACTAGATTAAAGTCTGAAACCTTTGGCCTCTACTTCATTTGTTGCATCCCAGTCCTGACACAGCAGGCTTTTTATTTCTGAATGCTGTCACTTGTATGGCAACAGCTTCAGGTTCAATATACTAGCAATCACTCAGCCAGAGAGCAGATCAAACTACAGTTTGACATCAGCTGTCAGTTCTGGTTTGTGGTCAGTGACAGAGAAGCTGAGTCATGGCTTCAGTGTTGAGTCCCAGTGTCTGCAAGTTGACTGTCAGTCGACAACAGACTGACATCTGACCAGGATCTCCCAAAACTTTTCACATCCAAAGAATGTGAAAAGTTGAATAAATGCACACTGACTGCAGGAAGTCATGTTACTATAACCTTGTCGAAATTAAAATGCCTTTTAGAAAGCACCTTTTTAAAAGATCATGACTTTTTTAAAATTTCAAGTCAAGAATCTTTATTGTCATTATGCATAGCACAACGAATGTTTTTTCCGGCAGCTCTTATCTTAAAAAAACAGACATATTATTTACATAACACACAATTGTATAAGTCAATATAAAAATATGAACAAATAAAAAGGGATGTATGGGACCTAATCAGGTCAGCAGCATGTTAGCAGCAAGAGTGTAGTAACATTATAAGGTGCAGCTCAGTGCAAATCTCAGTCTTTAGGAGGAGGTGTGGGGTCCAGTGTTCTGTGTCTGTCCATAGGGGGGAGGTTGTGTGTGTGACTAGGGGTTAGGGGGGTGATTGATTTCACAGCTCTGGGGAAGAAGCTGTGTCTCAGTCTGTTTGTTTTAGTCTTTATATTCCTGTACCTTTTCTCGAAGGGAAGAGGCACAAACAGATTGTTGCCTGGGTGGGTGGCGTCTGCAGCAATCCGTCCAGCCCTCCTCTGGATCCAGTCAGTGTATAGTGAGTCCAGATCCAGAAGAGGACTCCCTACAATGCCCTGAGCTGCTCTCACCACCCGGGTCAAGTCCTTTCTGTCCTGTGCAGTGCAGCTCCCGTACCACACTGTCGCACTGAGACAGAGGATGCTCTCTACTGTCGCTCTGTAGAAGTTTGCAAGCAACTGAGAGGAGAGACCAGTGCGTTTCAGCTCCCTGAGGAAGAAAAGCCTTTTCTGGGCTTTCTTCACCAGGTAGGATGTGTTCAGAAACCAGGTCAGATGTGATGCGGATGCCCAGGAACTTGATGTTATCTACATGCTCAACAACCTCCCCGTGTATGAGAAGAGGAGCATATTTTGTCTTCCTGGACCTCCTATAATCTACAATGACTTCCTTAGTCTTGTTGGTGTTCAGGACAAAATTGTTATCTGAACACCACCTTGTCAGGTGCTGGATCTCCT